GTGGTGGTGCACCCTGAGGACCAGACCCCTGAGCCTCAAATGGTGCCTTGCCACTGGACCTTTAGCACTTCTAATCCTTTCCATTAGCTCAGAAGCTCTTGCATGTGTTGTCTTTCCCAATTAGAGTGTGAAGATCTTGAGAGCAGGGACTTTTCTATTCATATCCATGGCACTTGGGAGAAGAGAAGGCTTGGCAAGCACTTAAATGCTTTCTCATTTGTTCATGGACAAGTTATTAACATGTTCTGTTTAGTCCCAGAAGGCAAAGCTAAAAACAGTGTGTGGAAGTTGCAGAGAGGCAAACTTAGGTTTCCTTCAAGATACAACTTCTAATAATTAGATCTACTGAAAATTAAGTGGACAACCATTGAAGCTGGAATTTTCCATTCATTTGAGGTCTTCAGGAAAAGACTGGATGACAACTTTTTTGATATCATATAGATAGAATTTTTGTTCTGGTATGTACTGGACAAGGTAGTTTCTTGGGTCCTTCTGACCCTGAGGTTCTATGACAGGGAAGTGGAAGAATTACAGAAAGAGCTGGTATCTCTTTCGAAGGATGACAACACTGCCTGTCTGGGCCTAGAAAGGGATCAATTATGTATGAAGTCATGACACTGATTTTCCAGTGTATGAAGAATATAATAGTTTCCCAAGATTTACACTCACTATTCCTGAAATGCTGAAATTCCAAATCACACTTACTGTTGCTATTAATGATTTAAATATCCCTCTATGCTGTGCCCAGAAAAATAATAATCAGACCAATTGCTCTGATAACTATCTGGTGATTTAATTAATTCACAAGCAGAATGAAAGTATTATGGTGAATATGACTTATTAATTTTCAATTTGACCATTAAGGAAACTGAAGCAACTCTATAACAGTTGCAGGTCCACATTGGTAGACAGATTTTCTTACCATGATTCTGTACACTAATGAATGGCAGGTCATGATAATATTGACCACCCCCTAAAATCCCTAATGCATAGCACAGTAATACGTGCACACTTAATAAATGTTTATTGAATTAAATTATGCCAAAGGAAAACTATAAGACCAAATACTCCAAAAATTTCAAATAAAGAAAATAAATTTCAAGTAATTTCTCTATTTTCATGGTACCTGATAGCTGAGTAAACAATGTTATTTCTAGATACAGAACACTAAGCAGCACTCCTACATCACTGTATTCTCTTAGGCACACATAATTCTCATTAAGATACTTGTGTCAAATATTTTATACTGCCAGAATACACACAAGCTTCTTTTTACAACAGGTGAGTAAAATCCAGACTTCAAAAGGCTGTAACATCAGTCCCACCTCAACAAAAACACATTTATGGAGCATTTTAAGATCTGTAAAGGGCTGTCCATACATTATCCATTTGCTTCCTACAACAACTTTGTGAGGCAGATGCTCTTATAATCCTTATTGCACAAATGAGGAAACTAAAGTTCTAGGAAATTAAATACCTAGCCCAGAGCTGCACAGTGAGGAAGTTTCTGAAGAAGACTCAAAACCAGGTCTTCCTGACTTCAAGCCCAGGTCTCCATTCACTCTGACACAAAGCAATTTGGGTAAAAGGACAAAGACTGATAACAGTGATTGACTGATGATATCTGGCAAAAGTGAATAGTAGCAAACATGACCGAACTCTATCTGATACAATGAGGCTGTTTCAGCCTAATCCTGTGATAAAAACTCAACATGCTGACCTTGCAATGACAGAGCACCTTAAAATTGCCCAAGAGCTTCTGTGTTATTAAAAATACACTACAAGCTACCATTGCAAAGAGTTAGAAGAGTTGTGGTTCGAAGAGCCTGGATGGAGTGAAGAGAATGAGGACAGGAGAATCAACAGATCCTGTGGTGCAGTTTGTTAAAGAAGCACTGGACAGCTAAGATAAACACATCAAGCTGGTGACACTAGCAAAGACAATGGTCACTACTGCACTAAGGACATATACAATGTCAAGACAGCTATTCAATGTAACTGGCTCAATATAAAATATTTACTACCCTAAAGTAATGACAAAATGATGTAAAAGATCTAAGAAACCTGTATGACATCAATGATTCTCAATAACACAGGGTCTGAAATGCTAAAAAGGCAAAGTACTAGGCTATCAATTGTCAAGAAAATTCTTTAAGGAATAAAAATGCCTACTAAAGCAAGGAAGTGTCACAGCAGGAAGAATTCTGAGGTATCTATGAGTGACTGGTTTTTTGAAGCAGTGTGTAGACAAATGCACCAAAGATATACTAACAAAAACCAAAAGTGTTTTAAGAAACTGAGGACCGAGGAAAACACCAAGACAAAGCATGAAGTCCAGAAAGAAGCATTTTAAGTGAAGCCTTGGGTGAGTCACTTAAACTCTCAATATCCTAGGCAACTGTCCATGAGGTGCTGAAAAGGAAGGTGTTGACCTGCCCTGAGAGAAGGTTCCTTCACAAGGAGCTCCCTATACCAATGAAATCACAGGTTTGGACTCCGTCTTGATACTAAAATATGAATGAAGTGCCCTGGGATGTGGAAAAAGCCAAGCTGAAGAAGGTCACAGCCTGAGAAATGGTGGTATATTTTGTATCTCAGATCAACAAGCAAAAACATATATTAACCTCAAATACCACAGTAAACCCCAAACTATATACATTCCCCAGTAAATCCACTTAAATACCTGCCCATACAGTAAGGCCTGGAGCTGTGGACACAGACGCAGAGGCAGGCACCAGACTCTTTGGTGACAATTACAGCACCCAAACAAGCCCCATAGAAGGATCAGGAATAACTTCTGTTTGCTTTAGAGCTGGTCAGGGGTCCTGTTTGGTATGGGCCTCTTATTATTAGCATAGGTGTCACTGGAGTGGTTTCCGAAAACGGTAACCCACATGGGACAAGCTGCCAGATTTCCTCCATGGGAGATTCACAGGCCAGAGGGTAACTTCACAATGATCTGGCTTCTATTGACAGAGAGAGGGCAAGATGCTAGACAAACAACCACTATTCTCTCTTTATGGACTTTGCTTAAAACTTACCTAGATTCTAGTGTAAAACTAGTGTATTGCCTCTTTAATACACTACTTTCAAATTTCTCTTTGCAAATACATTATTTATTTTTCCTATAAGGATAAGTGACTATACTGCTCCCTAGCAACTTTTATATCTCCTTCTATGTATCTGCTTTTAAAAACTGTACATTCAAACCTTTATTTATCAAGTACTGAGGGTGACACAGAAATTGAGGAAAAAAGTGAAGCAGGTGACATTAGTATGTTTTTATATGACATATGGGTGACAAAACTTGATTAAAAGATAAACTATAAGAAAAAAATTCCTCAAGTTACCCTTTTCATATATATATATATACAAAAAGCTTCATTTATGAAGAAACTGTGCCAAGTACTTAAATTAAACATGCATGTACATGTACACATGTGTACATATATAATACATAATACATCATGTGTATGTGTATATATGTGTGTCTGTGCTTATCTATTTATTTATTTGTTTTTATCTACCTATCTTAGATGGTGAGGTCTTCCAGAAGCTCTTTAGGTGATTATGTGCTGATTTTATCAAGTCTCAGAAGACTTAGGCCTAACTAAACATACTGGAAAAACTAAGGAGATAAAGAATAACTATTGATTGGATTATGCTAAGAAAACTATAACAGAGACTCACCTTGGGTATAAATAGAGCCCACTTAGTTGGACCAACAATGCAGGGAGACAATGAACTGGGCTAAAAATTAAATAGGAATTCAATAAAAGATCCTAAAGCACCTCTGGGGAATTATGTGGGCTACAACACACAATACTACATAATTCCATTTCATATATATACACATATATATATTCTTATGTATATATATTATTTCTGTTCCTTCATATTTGGTATTTTCAGAAATGTAGCAATGATGATTTTGCAGCAGCTAAAAGATAAAGATGTCTAACCCCCAGAAATGAGATTCATTACTACTTAATCATTAAGAAAAACCCACAATTTTTTCATTAAAATCTTAAAGCAAAAATCATCAAGAAAATCTATCTTTTTCATAAAAACATCTCTTGGAATTCACAGTCATCATCTATTATAATCTTCATGGAGCTATCGATTCCTCTACAAAAAATCTGTACCATCTGGCAAAATAACAATTACAAAATTGAACATACTCTTTGACTCAGGGTCTCTATTCTGGCACTTTAGATATAACTAAAAGGAAAAAAGGCCCTATCTTTATAAAAATATTCACAGCTGCTTGACATATTATAGCATAAAATCTGCTGACAACACTGGTTGAACAAATAAATAAGGTCCTATCAACGTACTTAAAGAATACAAAAAAAGTAGGGAATGATCTATGTGATAAGATGCAAAGTGAGGTCAGCAAAGCAATAACAGCCAATATAATAACTGTAACTGAACAAAACCAACAAAGACCATGGTCCTTTCTAATATTCAGAAGGATTTAGAATCTAGAGGGAATCCGAAAGCTAACCTTATTGGTATTATTCGTTCCCCTACCCCTCCTACCTAGGACCTGTGATTTCTCCTGAATAGAGAACTCCTTTGTGGAAATCTCCCTCTGCTGATGCCGACTATAAACACATTTGTAGCTATAGAGCTGCCTGGGGCACCGGGCAATGGTCACATGAGTATGGGTCAGATGCAGGACTTGAGACTGAACCTGGGTCTTCCAAATTCCAAGGTTGGTCATCTCTCTCCACACCATGTGGACCCTCTATTCTTATTTTGTTAAAATTCCTTTTTTTCCCCCACAAGCAAAATGTAAACAGCTTGAATGTGGGATTTTATTTGGAGATTCACATAATATATGCCTTTGAGCATGCTAAATTTGTAGAAATAATAACAGCAAAAATATCTCATCATGCAGTTAAATATAAATTGTTTTTTAAAAATTCCTTTACTTTATTTGAAAATTGTGATTTAGTATTTTTGTTTCTCTAAAACCATTAAATCCCTCATCTTACCTCCTCTTGGTAATTCTGTGTGAAGGTATGCCAGGCCTCTGGTAACAGAATGTGCCAAACGACAAGAGCTTACCCAATCACTGGTATGAAGACTCAAATACTTGCACAAAGAGCCCTTAATAAAAAAGTAGAAACAGTGAAATTAATTCTGTTACCATAAATAAACATTGATTTTAAAAGGCCTGCCTCAAGTAGGGTTTCTAGATTTGATTTTGTCAGTATTGTTACATCAAAATCAGCTCAGCACAACATCTGAAAAGCTAAGAAGACTATGTGTTGTAGCATAAGGGATAAAAAAGCATTTCTTCTTACAGATTTCTTTCAGAAATAAAGCACTATCATCATAAAGGAATGGAGACTGAAGAATCTATTTGAAAAGATCATACAGAAACCCTGGGAATGAGAGGTTTTGTTGTTTCTATTGAACTGAAGTATTTCTAAAACCATATTATAATGATAATACCATAAAGGACGTTAATGGAAAAACTGACTAAAGAAATGCGAAGTAGCTTCTTGGAACATTCTATTTTCTTTTTTTTACTGACATGCTTATTGCACTTATTTTTCACATAATTGATTATTTTTAATAGACTCAGAAACAAAAAGGAGAAAAATGCATTCACTACAGTGGCTAATCAACCACAAAAGCCAGGCAAGAATGAAAAGAAATCACACTTATCATACTGATTAGAAAAATGAAAAACAGAAAAGAGTAAAAATTATGGTGGGAACATGTAGGATCTAGAAGAAAGATACCTAGAAGATTATATTCTTTGGCATTTAAATTGTGTCTCATATCACTGGTATCTAAGATATCCTCTAGAATTCAAAATCCATAACTCATTCTATAAGGTGAGTTCCTTTAAGGGTTATTTGGTCTATTACAAAGAATCTATTATCTTATCAACATCTCTTTTACAAAGATTTAATTTGCAATCTTACATGTTTTACGTTACTATTCCTCAAATACAAAAAAGTACCTTTGTTATAATCTCTTTGGTATAAGCACATCGTATGGGAGATTAATCACATAATCAATATTTTCTTTTTTTTAACGTTTTCTATTCCATCTATCAAGAAAAAATTATTTAAATTGTTTTTAGGTAAAAAGGCAATTAGTATAAATTGTGTATGTAATTCTGAAATTGACAGTCTCCTTATGCTTAAGAACAGGACTCTCTCAGTTCCATTTTTTATAAAGTACTTACATTGGGGTAATATTCCATCACCAACAAATACTCCATTCGTGCATCAGCAGTGAATCTTTCATCTCCAACAATGAAGCGAGCAATGTTATCGTGGTCCATAAGAGGAATGCGATAAATGTTCCTCTCATTGATAAAGTTTTGACGATTGGCAAAAGAAAAAACTTTTACAGCTACTGGACGCTCATCCAAGGAACCTTTATACACTGCTCCATATCGTCCTCGACCAATCAGCTGCAAACGTTTAAGTAAAGTCATGGCAGTAATTCAAATGGAGTACATGATAACTGAATAATTAATCCTTACCCAATTTTAAGAATCACATATTTGAGTAATGGGTCTTTTACTCCTGTTTAGTTTAATAAAACCTAATAAGTAAGCAGCCAACTAAAATGTCAATTAAAAACCAAGTAATTTTCACAGAATCTGTTGCCTCATCATATAGGATATTATTAAATGCTTAAAAACTGTATGTTTCACAACTGAACTGTACCATGGTCTTATATAACAAAGACATTAGCCAAAATTATTTCGTTCTTATTCACAAGGCAGTCTATTTCATTGGTCTATAATGAATATTTTTCTCCTGTAACTGTAAAACTAATTACCAAAGAATGTATTTTAACAATATAGTTTTATCTTTTAACAAAGTTAAAAAATGTTTTCATGAATATCCTAAACCATTAATGTTTGACACCTATTAAAAGTTTTTAACTAGTGGGAAATATCCTCTACATGTTCAATATTATGAAATATTTAAATGTATATTTTCATTTTTAATAACGACAGGAAGGGTTAAAAGTGATGCTGTTAATAGATATTTTCCCATTTAGATTAAATAAAGTCTCAATGCTGGATCAAAAGTATCTTATTGTATAAAAATAAATGAAGAACTGAAATACTACTATAAATAAAAATTGAAAAGATGATTAAGACAATATATAATAAATATAAAAATACTTAGAAATTTTTTTCCTCACACTTCATATAGCACTTTGCTCACTTATACTTCTCTTATATACTTATGTTCCATTTGAGTATTATATTTCCCTATCAAGTGAGATAGTATTTGTAAAAAATGCTTAGCAAAGTGCCTGGTATATAGTAGGCACTATATAATATTCTCCCCCTTGTTATGAAATGCACTTCTTTATATCTTCTAATTTTTAAAAAATGATGGGACCTTTTACATTCAGGTCAAATATCTATAAGGAGCTTACTGAGGTATGGTGTAAGATGTTATATGTAAGGCTGATGTGAGGTGTAAGGCTATCCCTAAAGCTTGCCAATCTTCTTTCCAGGTTTCCTAGCAATTCTTGTAAAAAATGGCATCCTTTCCTGGTAATTAGGTATTGGGGTTTATGAAACTCTAGGCTATTGTGTTGAGTTACTTTACATAGTCCAGTCCATTGATCTGATTTTTTTATTTTTTAAATCCAGTACAAAATAGTTTTGATCATTGCTGCTTTTGGGGCAAATCTGAACGGCATATCACAGCCGAATTAGGTAGCTTCATGATTTTTTTAGGATACTGATATGGCCCAACCATTAACACTCAATACCGTATCAATTATTTCCATAAAGAAAGTTTTATGATTGTATTTGCCAAGTCCCAAGTATGTCTTGGTGGGTTAATCAAATGGGTCACTGATCTTATCAATTTGTATGTTTTCTACAACAAAGTAGATGGTAATCCTTTCTTATGACTGTTCATCTGTTATCCCTAATCCTTGCCATGGGAAAAGACCATTTTTTTCTTCCTATCATACATTTTTTTCATAACATCTTTTATTCCTATTTTTGAAGGTTCTTCATTGATATAGTCTGCTCACACCTACTATGAGCCTCCATTGTCCTCTGTGGGAGTGCTCTATATCTTGCAATGATCCAACAATGTCAGTATTATACTGTAATTAAAATGATGAGCCTTTGTTTCTGGGAGAAGACTAGCATCAGAAAAGGAATACACAACTTCTGAAGGCAATCCACCCTGATTTCCTCTTCCGACCTCTTGTCCCAATACTCAGCCATTTGTATCATCTGTCTCAAGTATGTATACCATCCCACAAATGTTATAGGCTATCCATGCAACAATATATCATAATTTGGAACATAGACATTTCTCAAGCACTTGTTTTTTCCTGTGTGGATAGTGAGGATGTACCCTCTTTTTTTATTTAGTATTTTATTTTACCCCACTTACATATAAAAACAATTTTTAACATTTGTTTTTAAAACTTTGAAATTCTAAACGCTCTCCCTTCCTCCCTCCCTGCCCTCCTCATTGAGAAGGCAAATAATTCAATATAGAATACACATGTGTAGCCATGCAAAACATATCTATAACAGTCATGCTGGGAAAGAAAACAGACCAAAAAAAACCTCAAGAAAAATAAAATTTAAAAAATATGCTTCTATCTGTATTCAGATTTCATCAATTCTCTGGGAATGGATAGCATTTTTCATCATAAGTCCTTCAGAGTTGTCTTGGATCATTATATTGCTGAGAACAACTAAGTCGTTCACAGCTGATCATCTTACAATATTGCTGTTATTTTGTACACATTACATTTCACTTTGTAACAGCCCATACAAGTCTTTCCAGGTTTTTCTGAGAGCACCCTGCTCATCATTTCTTATAGGACAATAGTATTCTATCATAATCGCATACCACAATATTGAGCCATTCCCCAATTAATGGGCATCCCCTCAATTTCTAATTCTTTGCCCCCAGAAAAGAGCTGTTATAAATATTTGTGTACATATAGGTCCCTTTCCTTTCCTTTTTTTTTTTTAAATCTCTTTTGGGATACAGACTGAGTAGTGGTACTGCTTGTTCAAAGAGTATGCATGGTTTTGTAGACCTTTGGGCATAGTTCCAAATTGCTCTACAAAACGGTTCAAGCAGTTCACAACTCCACCAACAATGCATTAATGTCCCATTTTCCCACATCCCCTCCAACATCTGTCATTTACATCTTCTGTCCTGTTAGCCAATCTGATTGGTATGAGGTAGTACCTCAGAATTGTTTTAATTTGCATTTCTCTACTCAGTAGTGAGTTAGAATATTTTTTTCACATGGTTATAGATAGCTTTGATTAGTTCATCTGATCATATCTTTTAATTATTTATCAACTGGGGTATGGCTCTTATTTTCATAAATTTGACTCAGTTCTCTATGTGTTTGAGAAATGAAGCCTTCATCAGAGAAACCTGCTTCAAATTTTTTTTACAGTTATTATTGCTAACTGTATTTCCCTCCCTCCAACATCCCTCCTGTTTATTCTATTCTTTCTTTATCCTTTAACCCTGAACCTCCTCAAAAGTGTTTTGCTTCCAACTACCCCTTCCCCCAATCTGTCCTCCCTTCTATCACCTCCACCCCCTTCTCTTATCTCCTTCCCTCCTTACTTTCCTGTAGGGTAAGACAGATTTCTATACCCAAGTGAGTGTGAATGTTATTCCCTCTTTGAGCCAATTCTGATAAGAGTAAGGTTGACTCACTTCCCCCCACCTCCTCCCTCTTCCCCTCCACTGTAAATGCTTTTTCTTGCCTCTTTTATGTGAGATAATTTATTCCACTCTACCTTTCCCTTTTTCTTTCTCCCAGTATATTCCTCTTTCACCCCTTAATTTTATTTTTAGATAACATCCCTTCACATTCAACTCACACATATGCCCTCTGTCTATATTTACTCCTTCTAACTACCCTAATAATGAGAAAGGTCTTACGAGTTACAAATATTATCTTCCCATGTAGGAATATAAACAGTTTAACCTTAAGTCCCTTATGCTTTCCTTTTCTGTTTATATTTTTATGTTTCTCTTTAATCTTGAACTGGAAAGTCAAATTTCCTATTTACCTCTGGTTTTTTCATTAAGAATGCTTGAAAGTCCTCTATTTCATTGAATATCTATTTTCCCCCCCTGAAAGATTATACTCAATTTTGCAGGGTAATTGAGTCTTGGTTGTAATCCTAGCTCCTTTGTGCTCCAGAATATCATATTCCAAGTCCTCTAATCCTTTAATGTAGAAGCTCCTAAATCTTGCGTTATCTTGATGGTGGCTCCATGATACCTGAATTGTTTCTTTCTGGCTGCTTGCAATATTTTCTCCTAGACCTGGGAATTCTGGAATTTGGCTATAACATTCCTGGCAGTTTTCATTTTGGGATCTCTTCCAGAAGGTGATCAGTAGATTCTTTCAGTTTCTATTTTACCCTCTGGTTCTAGAATACCAGGGCAGTTTTCCTTGATAATTTCTTGAAAGGTGATGTCTAGGCTGTTTTTTTGATCATAGCTTTCAGGTAGTCCAATAATTTTTAAATTATCTCTCCTGGATCTATTTTCCAGGTCAGTTGTTTTTCTAACAGGATATTTCACACTGTCTTCTATTTTTCTATTCTTCTGGTTTTGTTTTATTGTTTCTCGATTTCTCATAAAGTCATTGGTTTCCATTTGCTCCATTCTAATTTTTAAGGAATTATTTTCTTTGGTGAGCTTTTGGAGCTCCTTTTCCATTTGGCCAATTCTGTTTTTAAGGCATTCTTGTCTTCATTGGCTTTTTGGACCACTTTTACCATTTGGCCTGGTTTGTTTTTTAAGGTATTATTTTCTTCAATATTTTTTTGTGTCTTCTTTATCAAGCTGTTGACTTGTTTTTCATGATTTTCTCGCATCACTCTCATTTTTCTTCCCAATTTTCCCTCTACCTCTCTTACTTGATTTTCAAAATCCTTTTTGAGCTCTTCTAAGGTCTGAGACCAATTTCTATTTTTCTTGGAGGCTTTGGATATAGGAGCTTTGACTTTGTTGTCTTCTTCTGAGTGTGTGTTTTGATCTTCCTTGTCACCATAGTAACTTTCTATAGTCAGAGATTTTTTTCATTGTTTGCTCATTTTCCCAGCCTATTACTTGACTTATAACCCCGTATTAAAGTAGGGTTCTGCTTCCAGGGTGGAGGGAGCATTATCCCAAGCTTCAGGGGTTTTGTGCAGCTGTTTTCAGAGATATTCTAGGGACCTATAAATTTTTATTTCTTCCAAGGTGGTATGATCTAAGGAGAGGTGTTTACTACTCTCCTGGCCTGTGCTCTGGTCTGTGAGTGACCACAAGCACTCTTTTCTGCCCTGGAGGGTCCTCCCCTCCACTGCAAGGTGGCTGCAAGGTCTGCGATGCTAGCGCTCCTCGTCGCCTTGGGAGTGCCACCCAGGACAACAACCTGGATCCAAGTATGGGCAAAGCAACAGAGTCTTGCCTCAGTGTTAGCAAAAAGACCTCTGTAATCTCCTTCTGACCAGGTGTTCGATCCTCTTAACCATCTGTGGGTTGAGAGCTCTGGAAACAGCAGCTGCTGATTTAGTCACTCCCAAGGCCTGCTCCTGGTTTGCTAGGGCCAGGGCTGTTCTGGCGCACCCTGTGCTGGACTGCACTCCACTCTCACCCAGGTGCAACAAACCTTTCCTGCTGACCTTCTAAGTGGTCTTTGGCATCTATGGGCTAAGTTTCTGGAAACCCCCACTGCTGCCAGTGATTCAGTCACCCTGACGCCTGTTCCTAGTGTGCTGGGGCCCAGTCTGCACGTGGCCTATGCTGGACTGCACTCCTATCTCACCCTGGTGCAACAGACCTTTCCTGCCAAACTTCCAAGTTGTCTTGGGCTGGAAATTTGTTTTACTCTATCTTTCTGTGGGTTCTGCTGCTCTAGAATTTGTTTCAAGTCATCTTTTAAAGGTATTTGGAGGAGGTTGGGAGAGAACTCAGGTGAGTCCCGGCCTTTACTCCACCATCATGGCTCCACCTCAAGGATCTATTCTTTAGAGTGGTTACAGATCTCATCCAGAAGGCTGTGCACTATTCTAGGCTTGATATAACCAGTACGACATCATCTGCAAATAGGAACAACTGGAAACCTTCACACCCTACAGGAAATTCTTCTTCTACTTGGACGCCATGCTTGATCTCCAGCATTACAATGGTGAACACTTCTAATTAGTATATATGTCACTGCTTTATGCTTTACTTGATGTTTATGATTAGAGGGCTATTGAACACATTACCACTGTGTTTATAACTTTCAAGGAATCTTGAATTCACTGTACAGAGGAGAGATCTTGTTGGAAAAGAGCCATTAGGACTACACTTCAACTATCATCCTCATCACTCTCCTCCCCACCCCTAACCTGTGTTGCACATCTCTGGGTCATCTCCACATCATGTTGGAAAGCACGTATACCTTTACCCCTTTTCTAACTCCCCTTTCTGTGTTGTCATTCCCCCATGAGAATGTAGGGAGAGCCTGTTGTATTTGTTTGTGCATCTCTGGTACTCAGTGTTTGTAATTCTCTCTCTCCCCTGCCCTCCTTCCCTTCTACCTTCAAGCTGATTACAAAATACATGCATAGATAAACCATGTGCAGATGAAAAAAATGATTGACAAAAGATAATAAATAAATGGAAAAAAACTGGTATAAGCAATAACTGCTATAAGAATTCATAAGATAAAGAGACCATTCTGAATTGGCATAATCAGAAAACAATTTCCAGAAAAGGTGAGATTTCTTTATGCCTATATGCAACATGCAATCAAATGAAGGACATTAGTATCTGCCTTTTTTTCTCAGAGAGAACATGCTGAGTAAAAGAATGACCTTAACAACATTCTTACCTCCAGAAGTTTTAGATTATCTAGGTCCAGAGAGGGCTCAGAGGCTGCTGCTTCCATCATGTTCATACTGTGAAGACCTTGCTTACGATCCCCTGTAGGCAAACACAGGAATCCTATTAATGTCTAAAACAATAAATCTGTCATTTTTTAAGGGGGGGGGGAGAAGAATGTCTTTAATAAACTCTACAGATGCAAAAATGAGAGCTAATACATCAGTTGGGCAGAAAGATTTTGCCCAAAAGGTTTAACATAAGGAATTCCTTAATATACGAACTACTTACCACACCAACAGACTTTGCAAATAAAGGAAATGGGTGGCTCCTATGTGACTTCAGTTCTAGTAAACTCATTCTCCCAATAGATTATAATATGAAACCCAAATAAACTTAAATTCTTGGTAATATAAGCTCCAGGAGATCAAAGACCCTCTGGCTTTGGCATTTGTATCTTATCAACTACTACAATGCTGGTACATAATTGTTGCTTTAAAAATCCTTATTAAATTAAATTGAGCAGCTCCATATAATGAACCTAAATCAGGAAACTGAAACTCCGTTATCTGCGAAATGGGTGGTGACTTTTTAAAATCAAGAAATCAACAAGAAAATTATTTCTTTTTAAATTATTGTTTTTAATTAACAAAAGCTCTCTCCCTTCATCAAAAGCACTCCCTCCATCTAAAAAAAAAAGGGGGGGGAATAAAGACCCTGTAAGAAGCATGTATAGGCAAGCAAAACAAATTTTACATTGCATTTGTTTGCTTTTTTTTAAGTTTCATTTTGTATTTTTGAGTCTTTTCCTTTAAAAAGGATGTGGGTAGCATATTTTATCATTAATCTTCTGGAATCAAAGTTGGTCATTACTCTGATCAAGGTTCCTAAGTCTTTTAGAGTTGTCTTTACAATATTATTATCATCATATCACTTGATCCCTAGGTTCTGTTCACTTCACTCTGCATTAGTTCATAAAAATGTTCTCAGATTTCTCTAAAACTATTCCTTTCATCAGTCTTTTATAGCACAACAGTATTCTATCAATATTTATATAACATAATTGTTTTACTTCCTCCTTTGGCCAGTTCAGATTAGAATTAGGTTCAAGAGTCAGCCACTCTTTTCATCTTTTCTTTCTTGTTTGTGAGGATATCTACTTGTACACTCTCATTACATGAAATAATTTTCCCTAACTTCCTCTCCCTTTCCACCCCTATTATGTTCTCCTTTTCTTACTTTTCCATTCTGCTTTTAAGATCATCAAAGCATTACAGAAGGCAAGACATTACACTTCCAGGGCTTCCAATTAGGATCCCTCTATGACCACAGAAAGGAGTAGAGTTGAAGGGACACATATTATCTCTCCATATGAGAATGTAATCAGTGTAGTTTTTTTAAGTTCTTTATGATTACTTGTTCATTTTATATTTCATTTTGTTTGTTCATTTTATGTTTCTCTTGACTCATGTTTATACTTCATAGTGCAAATGTTTATGATTTTTCTTTTCATCAGAAATGGTTGGAAATCTTTTATTTCATTAAAGATCCATTTCCTTTACCTTGCAGGATTATACGCAGTTTTTCTGGATATAAGCCTAAATCGTTTGCTTTCTGTAATGTCACATTCCAAGCTCTCTTTCAGTGTAATCCAATGATTATTAATCCTTCCCCCCATGTCAGTTGTTCTGCTATGAGATAACTTATGTGTTCTTCCATTTCTTCAGCCTTAGAATTTGCTTTCATATTTCTTGTTGTCATAAAATAATTGTCTCTTATCTGATCCATTGTAATTTTCAGGGAGTTTTATAATTCTTGTGCCAAACTGTTAATTCTTTTTCTAATTATATCCTTCATACCTCTCATTTCTTTTCCACTTTTTTCCTCTAGTGCTCTCACTTCATTTATAAAAATATATGTATTTTTTAAACTCTTGCATTAAACCTCTTCCAGGAATTCTGATTGAATTTGTGCCCAGGCTATGTTTTATTTTGATGCTTTGATTGTATACATTTTTAAGTCATTCTCTTCTGGGCTTTCACGTAGAGCATCCCTGTCACCATCACAGATTTTTATGGTGGGATTCTTTTTTTTGTTTGCTCATTCTTCCAACCTACTTTCTGACTTGAACTTTATATTAGGGCCTTGCTCTGCATATTTCTAGGGAATGTTTGGGCTGGTCCTGCTGCTGCTTTCTTGAATCCTGTATTGTTCCAGACTCTCAGGAAAAGCTTAGACTGGGGATCTGCAAGCTTTCAGTGCTCCCAGAATGGTCTGATCCAAGCAAAGTTTGATACTGCCTGCCCTGGACTAAGTTCTGAAAATTCCTGATGTGATTTTGGATCTGAGCAACAGGTCTGCCTCATGCTTAAGTTGACAGTACTTCCCCTTCCCTCCTAATTCTTAGTATTATCTTATCTCTGTACATGTTCTTATTCCCTGTCACGCCCTTAACTCCAGGATACACACAGGATTAGAATGTAAGCTTGGTGAGGGCCAGGGTACTTTCAACTTTGTTGATAAGTTCTTAGCTCCTAATAAAGTGCCTTGAATATGTTAGGAACTTAGTAAATATTTGTAGAGTGGTAGTGATTGTGAACAAAAGATTAACTAAAAGTAATTGAAATTTTACCTGCCAGCATCCTATATCCAAAGAAGAGGGCAGCTATCAAAACAGCTAACACAGAGACCGATGCAAAGGCAATTACTATTGTTTCATCTCGGTGAAATGAATGAGGAGGACCTGAAAGAAAACAAATTAGAAACTGTTATACCATATTTTAAAAGATATGTTCTTATGGAGTACTAAAATCTTTTTTAAAAATTGAGTTAAAAACCAATCAAATTCTTGTTCTTAAATTATATTAAAAACCTACAAGAACAAAAATAATTAAGAAAAAAATCAATTATCTTATAAAAAAAGTCATGACCATGGAGCATGTAGGTGGTGCAGTGGATAGAGCTCTGGCCTTGGAATCAGGAGAACCTGAGTTCAAATCCAGCCTCAGACATTTGACACTTACTAGCTGTGTGACTCTAAGCAAGTCACTTAACCCCAATTGCCTCACCAAAAAAAAGCAAAAAAAAAAATCATGACCTTACATGGCATTAAAAAAACATAAAGACAAAAGTAAGTAAGAAACCAATAAATTAGTGATAAAAGGCATTTTAAGAACCTTACTGTAAATTATCTTGTAAAGGGCTGGAATACTGACAGATGTTAGGTAGGGTAGAGTTCTAGATAATCAAAAATGAGGTATATTATACAAAATGACATCAAAATACACATGTAATTATCATCTAATAACTCAATATTATTTGAGAGGAAGTTGGTGAGGTGTGAACTACAGAAATGACTAAAAAATTCAAGTGAATCAATTTAATGTTGGAAGAAGCATCAGTGGTTGTCACACACATAATATGACCATTTAATGGCTATCATACTCCCATACTTCCTTAAGTGTCTGCTTTGAAAGTGGGGTTAGAATCAAAGGATCACAGAATGAGACAAAAGGAATTTTAGTGACCATTTAATCTGACTCCTTTATTATACAGATGTCAAAACTCAGACTTGGAAATATTGAATTGGCCAAGGCTACACAACTAGCAGTGATACAATTAGAAGACAAGCCTGCTGAATCCCAATCCAGTGTTCTTTTGCCACAATACTATGAATTGCATGACAGCAGCATGAATTACTTTCATATTTTACCTGTTAAAAAATGTCTGTCACCCAAATTTTTGGGACAAGAACTCACTATTTGACAAAAACTGCTGGGAAAACTGAAAAGCAGTCTGGTAGAAACTAGGAAGAGACGAAGATCTTACACCATCTATCAAGACGAGGTCAAAATGGGTTCATGGTTTAGATAAAATGGACAATTTTGATTATACGAAATTAAAAAGTTTTTGCATAAACAAAACCAATACAACCAAGATTAGAAGTAAAACAAAGCTAGAAAACGATTTTTACAGCAAGTATCTCTGACAAAGGCCTCATTTCTCAAATATGTAGAGAAGTGAGTCAATTTAAAAGAATATGAGTCATTTCCCAATTGATAAATGGTCAAAAGATATGAACAGGCAGCTTTCAGAAGAAGAAATCAAAGCTATCTATGGGCATATAAAAGTGCCCTAAATCACTACTTATTAGACAAATGCAAATTAAAACAACTCTAAGATACCACCTCACATCTATCAGATTGGCTAACAGGATAGAAAGGGAAAATAATAAACGTTGGAGAGGATGCGGGAAAACTCGGACATTAATGCATTGTTGGTGGAGTTGTGAACTGATCTAACCCCCCTGAGGAGCAATTTGTAACTATGCTCAAAGGGCTATCAAATTGTGTATACCCTTTGATCCAGCAATACCACTACTAGGTTTGTATCCCAAAGAGATTAAAAAAAAAAAAAGGAACAAGGACCTATTTGTACAAAAATATTTATAGCAGCTCTTTTTGCGGTGCAAAGAACTGGAAATTGAGGAGATGCCCATTAATTGGACAATGGCTGAACAAGTTATGGTATATGATTGTAATGAAACATGATTATGCTATAAGAAATAACGAACAGGATGATTTCAGAAAAACCTGGAAAGGCTTACACAAACTGATGCAAAGTGAAGTAAGCAGACCCAGAAGAATATTGTACATAGTAACAGCAACATTGTGCTGTAATCAACTACAATCAACTTAGCTCTTCTCAGAAACACAGTGATCCAAGACAATTCCAAAGGATTCATGATGAAAAACACTATGCACCTCCAAAAAAAGAACTGATGGAGTCTGCATACATATTGAAACAACTATTTTTCATGTGTGTGTATGTTTCTTTTGGTCTGTGTTTTCTTTTACAACATGACTAATATAGAAATATGTTTTACATGATTGCACATATACAACCTACATTAAATTGCTTACCATCTCAGGGAGGGGTAAGGGAGTGGAGAGAGGGAAAGAACTTTGAATTGAAAATTTTTTAAAAATGAATGTTAAATATTGTTTTTATATGTAATTGGGAAAAAATAAAATTTTAAAGAAGTTGTTATAACTTCCTCCCCAAGAAATTATTAAAATGTTTTTCTCCATCCCACTGTATTTTGGGAATGGCATGAATACGAAAAGTGGTTAACTAAGGAAAGTTGATGACCAATTCAAATTCCTGGAGATGATGAAACTCATTAAAGGGTTTATATGTAATAAAGAGGCTCTGTAGCCCCACAAATGGGTCAACTGGAGTGGGGAGATTAAGTTTGTACAATATAGTGCCTAAAAGTTGGAAACACTATCTCTAAGATCTATTCCAGCTTTAAGTCTTATGATGCTGAGTAATCTTTTATTTCTCTAGTCCTTGATTTGAAAAAAGTTAATTTGGGGCAGATTTGCAAAGAATGATATTATGAAAATTTACAAAGGAAGAAATAATTTTGAGGTTAACCTCAGGAAACAAGCATCTCCTTCCAAAAACACTTTCCTTGGTGGTTACTGCCAAAAACCAAATATCAGAATTGACAAACCCATTGGGTCTGACCCAGGGGGAACTATTCTTTTTTTTTTTGGTGAGAACTATTCTTATATGGTTCTTTTCTTCTATAAAAATCAAGCAATTATATCTTAATTACTCCCAGTTCCAAACGAACGAGATTTGACCTCTGAAAGAGCCAGAATTAGAAGCGCCTCCATTGATAGGCCTTCCTAGTGTAAATGAATACATTATAATACACAGACTGAAAACAGAATATCTTCTCAGTTTTTATGTTTAGCTTCTTCCTATGAAAATAATTTCTAGGCAATATTTCTACACAAGCGTTCTTAAAGATTTTTTTCCTCTTACTCCTAACCTACCAAGTTGAGTAGTCAAGACCAACGTTTTAGTGTTGATTGCTTTTCTTACTTAGATTGTTATTTTCCTGATATAGTTAGATTTCTATTGGTGTATAATAATGTTAAGTAGTTAGGTGGTGAAGTGGTTAAGTCAATTTATTAAGCACCTACTTACTATAGTCAGGCACTATACTAAGCACTAGTGACACAAAGAAGGGCAAAAACCCCCCAAAAAACAAAACAAACAAACAAACAAAAAAACAGTCCCTGATCTAAAGGAGTTCACAGTTAATAGGGGAGACAACAGGCAAACAACTATGTATACAAAATATATGCAAGATAATTTGGGGAAGGGAATTAATCCTTTCAGAAGGAAGGCACTAAGATAAAGGAAAACTGGGAAAGGCTTCTTGAAAAAGGTGAAACTTCAGCTGAAACTTGAAGAAAATGTAGGAGGCAGAGATAAGGAGGGAAAGCATTAACAGACATGAGGCAAAGGTATCCCAGGCCCTGAGGATCTGTAGGTGGTTAAAAACACTGAATTTAGATTCAGAAAGACCTGAGTTCAAATCCCACCTCAGACACTCACAAGCTGTGTGACCCTGAGCAAGTCACTGAACTTCTCTTAGTCTCAGTTGTTACACCTGTAAAATGGAGGTAATAATAGCACCTACCTCATAGAATCTGCACATGATTTATCTATGCACGTGACGGTCAGAATAATGTACGTACAATGCTTTACAAACTTTGATGTGATATAAAAATGCTGGCTACTGTTATAGATATCTTCATTAAAAATGAAATATTCACATTTTATGAGACATGCAGGAACTTAGCTGATACATATTTGAACATATTAATAACTGCATCTTTCATAGGCATTACAGGAAAAACACTACTTACAAAGCTCAAATCTCTAAAGAAAGAGCTCTTAACTTTTTTTTGTGACATGGACTGAAAACTATAGGTTCCTTCCCAGAATCACATTTTAAATGCATAAAATAAAATTAATAGGATTACAAAGTAAACCAATAATATTAAAATCCAATTACCAATTTTTTAAATGTTCACAACTATAAAAAGTTCAAAATGATAAATTAATTTTTAAAAATTCACAAATAGCTATTTTTTCCCTTCCTACCTCCCCTTCCTTCTCCATTAAGGAAAAAAAGAAAAACAAAACCTTTTTAATGGATAAATTTTAACAACAACAAAAAAGTAACAAACAAATAAACATGCAAAATAAATTTCAGTTTCCCCATGGATCCTTTGGAGTCAATGGTTGGTCAGCTGACTCTTGCTCTATAGTTTTCTTTCTTTGGTTGGACTTTCTGTGGTTTAGCTATCAAGACAATACTTCTATTAGAAAAGGGATTTGATGGATTTCCTTCTTGTTTTTGTAAACAGTTTTTTGTTATACTGAAATTATTCTTTGAACATCTAATAGAATTTGCTTGCAAATTAATCTGGTCCTGGTCCTTTTTTCTTTTTTCCTTTGGAAGTAAATTTGTGACTTAATTTCTTTTTTCTGAGATTAAGTCATTTAAATTCTCTATGTCTTGTTCTATTAATCTAGACATTTTATTATTTTTGTAAATATTAAACCATTTCATTTATGTTGTTGGTTTTACTGGTATACAGTTAGGCAAAAGTCTCTAATCACTTCCCTTAATTCTTCTTCATTTGTTGTAAATTCTCCTCTTTCATTTATGATACTGCTAATTTGGTTTTGATTTAAGTGTTTAGGAAAATAAAAATTTTCCCCCAAGGACTGCTTTGGCTGAATCCCAAAAATTTTTGTATGTTGTCTCATTGTTGTGATTTTCTTTACTGAAATTATCTATTGTTTCTGTGATTTGTTCTTTGACTTACCTGTTCTTTTAAATTAAGTTACTTATTCTTCAATTAAATTTTAATC